CCCAAAAAAAAAAAAAAAACAAAAAAAAAAAAAAAACCGAATTTGAACCTTTGTTTTAAGCAGGCGGGGTCGGATTTAGTGTTCAGGGTTGTTTGAACGGTATTGAAAGCCTTCCATTTTGAGCACAATGGGAGGCGATAAAGTCCATTGTTATTGCTCTTCCGAGTCTTAAGAAAAAGAACTGAATCGGGACCTTCCTTTTAAGCAGAAGAGGAGGTGATGAAGTCCATTGTCATTGTCGTGAAAAGGGGAAAAAAAACAAATTGGAGATTATTGGACCCTTCCTTTTAAGCAGGAGGGGTCGGGTTTAGTGTTCAGGGTTGTGAACTGTATTGACAATTTGACACCCCTTTTAAGCACAATGGGAGGTGATAAAGTCCATTTTTTTTTGCTCTTCCGAGTCTGCACGTATATGCCTGTTTGTTGTTGTTTACAGAAAGGTCAATCAAGATCCGAACTTTGAAGTCCAAGCTCCGATCTCCTGTCTTTGGGGACATCTGTAAATAATGGCACCATACAGTAAAGATTATCATGGCCTCGGCACAAGAATTGCACACTCAGATCTACAAATGGTCCCCACCTCAAAAAAAAAAAAAAAAAAAAAAACTGAAAGCTTCGAACGGCAGACTCCTCCACAACTGCTACCTTCGAATGTGACAGCGCGCACATCCCGACCCATGCTCCCCGGTGCACTTCTGGCTTTTTTTTTTTCTGTCCAAAATGGAGACGCCGGCCTGGAGATATTATCATCGATCCAACTGGCCCCAGGTGACTCTGGGTTATTTTACCCATCTGAGTCCCATTGGAACTTGGGTCTGTTTGGGTCTATCAGGATGCGAACTTAGGTGCGTTTTCCGGCAATAGTTGGGTCCATGAGGATTGTCGAGCTGGTGCACTTCTTTGCATTGCATCTTTTTTTTCTTTTTTCCTTTTTTTTTTTTTCCGTTGTTGTTGCTTTCTTTGTTGAGCACTTCCTCAGAATGTCTCATACCAACGTACGCTCAACATTATTGTATGCGCGTATTTGTTTTCTATTTCTGGGGCCTGCAGATAATGGTTTTCTTCTCATCCTGCAATGAGGTCAAGTTCTTCGCAGAGCTTCTGAACTACATTGACATCCCATGCCTCGACATCCACGGGAAGCAGGTATGCTTTTCTTTTTTTCTTTTCCCTTTTTCTCGGGCAAACCTGCTATAACACAGAGGCTACGATGTCCCATTCGAAAAACAGGAATTCATTTGGCTACCATGTCCCATTCGAAAAACAGGAACTCATTTGTCTGCTACAAGACTAGGCTACCAGAGTGGCCTGGGACTACTTGCCCGGGCGGGCAAAAAAGAAAACGAAAAAAAACATTTTTGAACTTTATTTTTTTATTTCAAATTTGGTAAAGAATTTCGATGTGAACCTGATGCAAAAGTTGTTCAGTTTATTTTTCATTTTTTATTTTTATTTTTTTTTGGCTGGTATATCATACTTGCGGCGCATCGCGATGCGCTGCCCTGCGCACGTGCACCGCACGACGCGCGCGCACTGCATGCGGCACACCTCCAAAAATGGGGGTCAAAAAAAAAAAAAAAGTCGTGAGGGGCGGTAGTAGACCCGGCCCCCTGCTCGCGTAAAATGAGAAACGGGCAGCCAATTTTTTTTTGGAGGCCGCGCATTGGCCTGAAAGCTTTTAGTAATCTGTAGTTCGGTTAACACTCTGTGTGTATGGTAGGGTTATTGCAGTCTGTATGGTAGGGTTCTTGCAGGCCAGATTCAGTCATGATGAGGGTCGCGATTTCTCAAAACGTTCTCTTCTTATAACTTCTGAAGTTCTTGCAGGCCAGATTCAGTCATGATGAGGGTCGCGATCTCTCAAAACGTTCTCTTCGTACTACTTCTGAAGTAGAAAACGACGGAACTGGCAGCCGTTTTTCCTGGAATCTTTTTTTCTTTTTAATAAAAAGAAAAAAACGTAAAGGAAGAACATCAGAATGGGCCTCGCCACACCACTCTCGAAATGTGAAAAAGATGAAAATGTGGCGGGAGCATCTGGTCGTGTTCTAGCGGGAAGTTCATTCCATTTTGCAAATTTCGAGAGTGGTGTGGCGATGCCGAATTTCTTTGCACGAGTGAAGCCCGGCGCGTCCAAGCTGTCAGAACCTCAACGGTAATGTTTACCAACGGGCTCGCTGCACTACTCTCGACATGCACAACAAGACATGTATGGCAATGTATCTTTCCATGTTCAAGTGGAGGATTCAGTCTCATTTGTTCAGATATTCTCCAAAAAAAAAAAAAAGAAAGGTTCCAGAGATACGTTAGGTGCTTACCTGATTCATCGGCCCTTCGCTCTCCACCACCCAACGTATCAATGAATCTTCCGCCAGAACATGGAAAGATACACTGCCATATTTTTTGTCCTTTGTGCATGTCGCCCCGCTTCCCGATTCATGTTGCCCGTTGATAAGGGCGGTTTCTTCGGTCCGATAGTGTCAGCACACGGTTTCCTCTCTCTCTCTCTCTCTCTCTCTCTCTCTCTCTGTCACACACACACACACACACACACACACACGCACACTGAAAAGAGGCATTGCGCACAGTGCGCACCTTGCAGGGGTTGCGTGTCCCCATGCGCTGCGCGCACGGCGCACCTCGTGCGCGTGCACGCGGTGTCACCGCGCGCATTCCGCACGGCGCAGCGCACTGCATGGCGCACTGCACTAATGCGCCGCAAGTATGTGGTATATTCTTTGGCCCTTGCATGGCCGGGCTGCCCGGGTAAACAGGTGACCCGGGCGGCCCGGCTGGTACAAGACATAATTAGTTGAGTTGGAGATCCGATGTCCCATCTTGTGTGCCTTTCTCACTAAAGTTGGGGCTCTGGATTGGCCCACTTTGTGCCCTGTGGTTGGGCGTCCGAGTTTTCATAGAAGGGGAAAAACAAAGAAAAAAAAAAGAAAGGAAAAAAAGAGAAAGGAAAAAAAAAAAGGAAAAAAAAGTAAAAAAAGAAAAAGAAAAGAAAATGGAAGGGAAGCAGTCAGTCAGTAGTCTTTCCAAACTGACAGCGAGCCGTGTGCCTGGAAGTCCTTCCTTAACAAGGAAGGAGGTATGCTTGTTGTTTGCTGGTGTGCTTGAAAGCACCAGTGCACCCGACCCTGGCGGACTCGCACTGTGCGCGAAGTATTGCCGAACCGCCGGCGTTACAGTGCTATTCTTTTTTGGCTGGCGCTGCCCGCCATTGCGGTCCGGTAGCCCCAAGCCTCCAGAAGTTTAGGAGTGAGCCATGGGGTTTTTAAGTAGGCTGGGGCCGTGTACTGCCGGCTTAACGAGGAAGGAGGTATGCTTGTTGTTTGTTGGTTTGCCGTGTTCGATCAAGTATCTCCCTTTGTGCTGGTGTGCATTTGTCGATCACTGTTGTTGTTATCCTTTGAGACATCGGGGTCGTCATTACTTGTTTAGAGGGTCCGTTACGTGAGACCCGAGTTTGGTTTTAAAAGGATTATTATAGATTGAAAAAAAGGGCCAGACCCTAACATTATTGTATTCATCCGATTTGCCAGTGAGGATTTGAATTCGTGACCCGGGTTTAGTTGTTAACAGGGTCCGTTACGTGAGACCCGGGTTCGGTTTTCAAAGGATATTTATAGATTAAACAAAAGGGCTAGACCCTAACATTATTGTATTTATCCGATTTGTCAGTGAGGATTTGAATTTATGACCTGTTTGTTCGCAGCTTTGTTCACAGTTATGTCTGTGTAACAGCATGTAGCATTCAGCCACATAGGCTGGGTACCTGACCCGTCTTTCTCTCTGTGCTGTTTGTTTGTTTTTGTTGCCTATGTTTCAACTTGTTGTCGCATTCTGATTAAGCAGAAGCAGCAGAAGCGGACGTCGACGTACTTTGAATTCTGCAATGCCGACAAAGGGATTATGCTCTGCACTGATGTAGCTGCCAGAGGACTCGATATCCCGGCTGTGGTGTGTGCTCTCTCCCTGATGCTGGTCTTGTCTTTCTGTCCCCACGTGGCAAGTTTCGCGGATTGTTGTGCTCTGACCACGTGCATCGTGAAATAAATGATGATTGATGGAAATTCTGCATTGGTCTACATTTTGGACCAAGTGCATGAGTATGTTTTTCATATTGGATAACCGTTGGGTGAACCTCATCGCAGTCCAAAAAAGCACCTGGGTGCTGGGAGAAACTGATTGGAATTATTGGGCGCGGGGCATCTGGTACATCTAAACTGCCGTCCGCCTGACATGCCATCGGATCTGCTGAAGAGGGGTTGTCACCCCACTTGGCCTTTAAATTATGAAGAAAGGAACTGGCTATAACTTGGCAACTCAATCGAAAGCATACGTGCTGATTAATGATCGTAGATGTGCACCACTGGTGGCAGAAAAAGTGTTTACCTAGCCAATCAGAGTCCCGTTCTGCTGCTTATTTTGCACATATGCACATGAGAGAAATGCGCACACAATGTCACACATGTACATGTGCACACAATGTCACACATGTACATGTTTGTGTGTGTGTGTGTGTGTGTGTGTGTGTGTGTGTGTGTGTGTGTGTGTGAGAGAGAGAGAGAGAGAGAGAGAGAGAGAGAGAGAGAGAG